TGCGCCGCGTCTGACGGCCGATTGACAGCTACCCGCATAACTGGTGTACATGAGACAATGTATAGTATCTTTGGTATAGATACACAAACACTACATCTCTTCCTTTTTAACAAATTTTATTTCCATAAACATAATTAAAACTGTTTCCAAATGATCTTTAATAATTATTTTTATACTAATCAATTTCTCAAATTACACATAATTAAATTTCCCTTAGCCATATATCACATTTTAATTTCCTTAAACTTCATTTCTATTCGGTTTGTCTTCTGGTTCCATTGATTTCCATTGTCCTTCCACACGCTTTAGGTGAATCACATTCCTCCGCAGTCTCTGTCCAGTCTCTTCATTTCTTACAGTAATGTCTCCTCCTACAGCTTGTTCCACTACATGTGGTGTAGGGTTGAAAGAAGTCGTCAATTTATTTGGTTTTTCAATTTCTTTAAGGTACACCTTTTCACCTCTTGTCAGTTCTGGGATTTCTGCTCTTCTTTTCCGGTCTCCGTACTCCTTTCCCTTTTCTTTTTCTAATTTGTCGTGATCTCTTACTTCAGTGTCATCGTTTCTTCCGTTAATTTCTTTTAGCATTGGAATTTTGTCCCTGTTCATTCTTTTGAAAAATAGTTCTGATGGTGTTTTCCCCGTGACTGAGTGAGGGGTAGAGTTGTACATCATCAGATATTCATACAGCGTGTCTTTCATATCTCTTTTTTCACTAGCACTGATTTTGAGTCGTTTAACTATGTCTCTGTTTTGACGTTCCACTTCTCCATTCATTTGTGGCCAATACGGTACCGTGTTAAAAAGTTTTATGTTACAATTATTACAAAAATCTTTAAACTCCTGACTTACAAATTGCCGGCCATTGTCAGCAGTGATGGATAACGGATAGCCCAGTCGACTAAAAATTTCTTTAAGAATTTTAATTATTTGCGAGCTCGTTATGGTTTTGGTAACTTTGATCTCCTTATAACGACTATAGTAGTCAATGACTACTAAAATATAGTCATTGTTTGGTAATGGACCCAATAGGTCCATCGCGATGTCGACCCAAGGCTCAGATGGGAGTTCGCGACGTTTCATAGGTGCTGGGGGATTGGGCAAACTAACCAGGGTGCATCCTCTGCAACCCTTTACCATCAACTCGACGTCCTTATCAATTTTAGGCCACCAAACCTTAGAACGAAGGCGACCCTTCATCGCCACTATTCCCGGATGGCCTTCATGGGCTGCTAACAACACTTGCTCCCTGAGACTCTGAGGGACGACTATTCTATTTCCCCTTAATAAAATGTCCTCATAAAAACACAATTCATCTGAAAATATTTTGTATGTTTTTACGGACTCATCCCATTTCTGACTGTAAATTCCTTTTCTTACATTACTAATTTCATGATCGCTTTCCGACTCCTTTATTATTTGTTCCATTGAGGTTGTACAAGGTCTCGCAAGTTCCACTATCTGGTGGACATAAGTCTCTTCTGACGATGACTGGATTGACTGATCCGGGTATGCACATAGTCGCGATAGTGGGTCAGCAATGTTGGTTTTACCTGGTTTATATTTCACGTTATAGCGGTAAGCTTGAAGTCGCAAAACCCATCTTTCGACCCGAGCGCATGGTTTAGATTTTGGGCTAAATAAAAATTCTAGCGGCTTGTGATCTGTAATCAACTCAAATTCCTTACCAAAAAGGAACGTACTAAAATGTTCAATGGCCCATACTAGGGCGAGGGCCTCTTTCTCAGTTTGGCTGTATTTCCTTTCACATTGACTAAGTGTCCGATTTCCATATGCAATTATTCTTGGACCTTTGCCATCAATCTGTACTAATACCGCTCCAAACCCAACAGGGCTTGCATCAGCTATCACTTGCGTCCTATCCTTGACATCATAATATCCTAATGTTCCGATTTTTGATAACATATCTTTTAAATTTTCAAACGCCATATCGTGTTCGTTCGTCCATATATCCCTTATATTTGCTTTTTTCCCTAGTTTATGTCTTAGTATCTGCTTTAAAGGTTCTGTTGTAGTAGCTAAGTTCGGTATCCATTTATTAATGTAGTTTACTAACCCTAAAAAGCTTTGTAATTCTTCCACAGTCCTTGGCACTCTAAATTCTTTTATACTCTTCATATATTTAGGTAGCGGTTTTACTCCCTCTGGTTTTAGTTCATGTCCTAAAAAATTTATTGTCTGTACTTTGTAAATACATTTTTCGTCATTCAATAGAACGTTGTTTTGCTTCAACACTTCCATCACTTTAGAAAGTCGCAAGTCGTGTTCTTTCTCATTGCTCCCCCAGATTAATATATCATCGATGAAATTAGTGACCCCTTCACACTTAATCAGCATTTTCTCCATTATCTTCTGAAAAAGTTCTGGAGCACTTGTGACTCCGAACATAAGTCTCTTATACCTATAAAGACCGCTGGAAGTTATAAAAGTAGTTAAATATCTTGATGCCGGGTGTAATTCAACTTGATGAAACGCATTTTTTATATCCAGTTTTGAAAAGTATTAAGCCTTCTTTATTTTTGGGAGTAGATTCTCCATACACGGCAATGGATGATTTTCTCTGAGAATGGCTGTGTTGGCGCGTCTCATATCAACGCATAGACGTACATCGCCATTGTCCTTTATAATTGGTACAATAGGAGACACCCATGACGATGGTTCGTGAACCTCTTCTATTATGTCTAAATCCAGGAGTTCTTTGAGTTTATTGTTTATCTTCTCCTCTAATGGAATCGGTATTCTCCGATAGGGCTGTATAACTGATTTTACCAACGAATCAATAGGAATCTCAATTAGTGTGTCTTTGAATTTTGGGAAAGGTTTATTGGTTTTTTGTTCGACATGGTTTACGTCGCTCCCTAGTTTTAAAACACCCAATCTCAATGCAGTGTCTTTACCTAGCAAATTCCGTGATCCACCTTCAATGACGTAAATAGTGGCGCGTTCTATTTTTCCGTGTGTTTTTATCTCTGCTTCAAAAGAACCTCGTATTTGTAAGGGTGTCGTGCTCCCATATGCTAGTAGTATTTTGTTTGGTTTTTTCGTCTGTTTGCTACAATGTACTCCGTTTTCCTTTAAGTGTTCCCAGGTTTTGGAAGATATTATATTTAACTTGCACCCTGAATCGATTAACATCTCCAAGTTGACTCCCCCTATTTGACATTTTATTGTTGGATCGTCATTTATGTTGAATACATATTGTGTTTCGTCATTTTGCAGAGAATTTACTGTAGTATCCTTGCGTGGCCGCTTGTTAAAATATTTGTCCTTTTCCTGATTTTGTGTAAATTTACGTTTTTGTTGAAATGATTTAGTTCTACAGCATCTTTGATAATGGCCTAATTTCCCACATCCGTTACACTTTTTGTCTTTTGCTGGACAAGGTAGACATTGTGAGACATGGGCAAAATTCCCACATCGAGTACATTTTGACGTCCTTTTCTCTTGGTTATACTCTTTTCCTTCTTTAGTGCTTCCAAAATTGTCTCTGCTCCTACTCCTTACTGCATTAACTTCATTTTTAGTCTTTTCTTTTTGCTCGTAACTATCCAATTGAAAGTTTACAATTTCTAAGGTGTTGGCAACGGTAATCACTTGATCCAATGTAATTCCATCACCCATTGTTAACATTTTTTTTCTCAACTCCATGGATAAACATTTTTCTAGTATTTGGTCAATTATATGGTCGTCAGGTTTTTCGAACTTGCATTTTGCGGCCTGATCTCTCAGTTTGATAAGAAACTTCTCAAAGCTTTCACCTTCATCTTGTTTAATGAGACGAAAGATATGCCTTTCAAAACTCTTGTTTTGTTTAGGCAGGAAGTAATCGTTCAATTTATCAATAGCTACTTCAAATAAATCAGCGTCATGTTCTGGTCCTACGTTTGCTCCAGGCAAGTTATAAAATATTTCCTGTAGTGCACCGCCACCTAAGACTAGCAATGTAGCTCTTTTTTTAACTGGAGTTGTTATATCCGCGGCTTCAAGATAAATTCGAAGGGACCGTTTCCACTTCTCCCATCGCAACCCGACTGAAGAACTATCACCCTCAATATCCAATTTTTCAGGTGGAGGCAGTTGGTTCGTCATGTTGATTGTATTGGGGCAACCTGAAAGTACACCCAATTGAATGGACGTCTAATAACCATTAATTTAATAAAGGTCAATTTCGACAGTACTAAACTATAAGTACCTCCGCGCAGTACTTCCTATTTAAAGGAAGTCTTTGATGTAGTACTAAATTCAATTAAATGAATTTCTTTTCAAAATAATTTACCTTCAATTTAATGAAAGTCGCTACACATAAAAGTATTTTTTCCAATTGAATGGAAATCATACACACTCTTACACATATCCAATTTAATGGACATCAGATTAATTAGTAATTACACTTAACATTAGGATGTTAATAACATTAGGATGTTGATGTGATTGGTTTATATCATAGTATAGTATAGTATAGTATAGTTATAGCATAGTATAGTATAGTTATATAATAGCATAGTATCTCCTATTTCGGGTTTATTATTACGTTTTAAATACAAGTAATATTGGTTCATTTCGATTCCTTGCGCCATCCAACGAGTGTCATTTCCTAAGCGAGATTTAGATTTATGATTGTCAAGGTGTAACGACACAAATCGTTGCATGAATTGGTAAAACATAAGTAGGTACCTACACAATAATTTCATATCTATTGAGGAGATTGAAATATCCGTGACGTGATTATTACACCTAATTGATACTCATTCGTTAACTAAAATGTAGGAAAATAGCAATTAAATGAACTGAAACGTCTATCATTTGATATTATAAAATAAAATGATGTACCTAACGCTTCTACCTTTCATTCGATTATGCAGAAATATAAGTAGGTCAACAGTAAAATATTCCGCTTACCTCCCTAATTGAGGCGGAATTTATTTATTATTTAGGTTCACTTATAGATTTTTCCTTTATAAATATTATTTTTACGTTTGATTATAACGATACGTAACGTCTGTAGTCGATATAGGTAGATATTTCCAACTTATTAAACATTTGAAGTTTTTTCGTAGCTAAATAATATTACCACTGAAATGAACAGAACTTCAACTGAACCCAATCTAAACCTTAAAGCTATTAGAATTAGGCAATTATCTCATAACATCTTTCTTCTCTCCTCTTCCTTCAAATAAAGAATACCTAATTATCTTACTTGCTTACCTTAATCCTCGTCGCCACTTGTAGTGATCACTATCACGTAAAGGCAGATTAGGATACTATAGAGGTATAAGTACACTTATTTAGTGTCTCACTGGCTCACTGCTACACCCCGTC